GAAAAATTCACTGGATGGACTTAAGATCATATTAGGGGAAGATGGTAGAGTGGGAAGCACCAGGAATCTGTCTTCAAACCTACACAACAATTGCGCTGGCAGAATCTGTCATACTATTTTGGAACTCTGGAGTCTTGTACCATCCAGGGGAAGGTTTGGATTGCAAATTGCACTTAATTTTGGTCAGGTTAAGCTTTTAGCACAATATCAGCTATTTATCTTCCGTTTCCAGCCCCTGGGAGGCAGATGTGCATGGATTCCAGGAGCAGCTTGGCTTGCTGGAGCCAAGGTAGGCAAAAAGGACCCTGTCCTCCAAAATACTGGGAATTGTGCTCTGATCACAAATGGCTGCTTCTGAAAACAAAGGTGCAAAGCGATGGGCTTTGCAAAGGTGCAAGGAGGGGCTGTTGCACCTCCCCACATTGTTGCAAGCCCTTGCCCCTGTGTTTGTTTTCTGTTTGTTTGGTAAGCCATGCCCCCTTCCAGCTGAAGTGACTTCCAGGAAATGTAAAGGGCCAGTGCCCTTTTCCCCACTTCATTTTTCTCTTCACCCTTTTCGGAGGCAGACATTAAAGATTAAGACATTCAAAAGCAACCGCATATATGGGGGAAAGTTAGAAAGTAACCCCAGTTTCTAGGGAAAGGCACAGGCTCAGAAAAACCTGAGAAGACCATCAATGTATGCCTTAGACTGCTCTTTGGCACAGAGACAGCCTACAACAACAACAATAACAAAAATAAATAAGCAAACAATAACAAAACCCAGCAGACTCTGAGGAAGGGGGAGAATCTTATTTTCATAGTTACCACATTATTAGATTCCAATGTCCAGTTTTCAGCAAAAAATCATAGTCATTCAAAGAAACAGGAAAGCATGGCCGTTTAAAGGAAAAAAACAGAAACAGTCCCTGAAAAGTACCTGACAGCAGATCTTCTAGACAAAATCTTTATAAAACAGCTCTCTTAAAAGATGCTCAGAGAACTAAAGGAAGACTTGGAGAAAGTCAAGAGAACAATATATGATCAAGATGGAAGTACAAAAGAGATTAAAAAATCCAAACAAGAAACCAAAAAGATTGTAGAGTTGGAAAGTACAGTAACTCAAATGAAAGTTTCATTAGAGGGATTCAAGGCAGATTTGAGCAGGCAGAAGAATCAGTGAACTTGAAGACAGGACAGTGGAGTAATTACTTTTCAGTCTGGAGTTGGAAAGTATAATAATTGAAATGAAAATTTTACTAGAGGGATTCAAGGTACATTTGAGCAGGCAGAAGAATCTGTGAACTTGAAGATAGGACAATGGAATAATCAAGTCTGAGGAACAGAATGAAAAAATAATTGAAGAGGCCGGGCGCAGTGGCTCACGCCTGTAATTCCAGCACTTCGGGAAGTTGAGGTGGGTGGATCACCCGAGGACAGGAAATCAAGACCAGCCTGGCCAACATGGTGAAACCCTGTCTCTACTAAAAATAGAAAAATTAGCCGGGCATGGTGGTGGGTGGGTGCCTGTAATCCCAGCTACTCGGGAGGCTGAGGCAGGAGAATCTCTTGAACCCAGAGGCTGAGGTTGCAGTGTGCCGAGATCGCGCCATTGCACTCCAACCTGAGTGACATAGCGAGACTCCGTCTGAAAAAATAATAAATAATCGAAGAAAAGTGAACCCCAAAACTTTGGGAGGCTGAGGTGGGCAGATAGGTTGACGTCAGGAATCTGAGACCAGCCTGTAAAACCCCATCTCTACTAAAAATACAAAAATTAGCCTGGCATGGTGGTGTGCCCATGTAGTCCCAGCTACTCCACAGGCTGAGGCGGAAGAATTGCTTGAACCCAGGAGGCAGAGGTTGCAGTGAGTCAAGATTGTGCCACTGCACTCCAGCCTGGGCAATGGAGCAAGACTCTGTCTCAAAAAAAAAAAAAAAAAAAAAAAGCCAGGCACATTGGCTCATACCTGTAATCCCAGCACTTTGGGAGGCCAAGGTGGGCGGATCACCTGAGGTCAGGAGTTTGAGACCAGCCTGACCAACATGGTGAAACCCCATCTCTACTAAAAATACAAAATTAGCCAGGCATGGTGGCACATGCCTGTAATCCCAGCTACTTGGGAGGCTGAGGCAGGACAATTGCTTGAACCCGGGAGGTGGAGGTTGTGGTGAGCCGAGATTGCGGCATTGCACTCCAGCCTGGGCAACAAGAGCAAAACTCCATCTCAAAAATTAAAGTAAAATAATAAAAATATGCTGAGTGGGTACCAAAGAAATAGAAAGAATGAATAAGATCAACTATTAGCACAACAGGGTGACTATAGTCAATAATAATTTAATTGTATATCTAAAAGTAAAAGAGGCCGAGCATGGTGGCTCACACCTGTAATCCCAGCACTATGGGAGGCCGAGGCAGGTGGATCACCTGAGGTCAGGAGTTCAAGACCAGCCTGGTCAACATGGAGAAACACTGTTTCTATTAAAAATACAAAAATTAGCCAGGCATGGTGGCGAGTGCCTGTAATCCCAGCTACTTGGGAGGCTGAAGCAGGAGAATTGCTTGAACCTGGGAGGCAGAGCTTGTGATGAGCTGAGATCGCGCCATTACACTCCAGCCTGGGCGACAGAGTGAGACTGTCTCAAAAAAAAAAAAAAAAAACCCATATATATATATTCACAATGGATGCTCCAGCTTAGGCAATAGAGTGAGTGAGACTTCAAGGGTAACCATCCTCTGAAGCATTTATCCTTTATGTTACAAACAATCCAATTGTATTGTATTGTATTGTATGCAGAGTTTCGCTCTCGTTGCCCAGGCTGGAGTGCACTGGCGTGATCTCAGCTGACTGTAACCTCCGCCTCCTGAGTTCAAATGATTCTCTCCTGCCTTAGCCTCCTGAGTAGCTGGGATACAGGCACCCACCGCCATGCCTGGCTAATTTTTGTATTAGTAGTAGAGTCGGGGTATCACCATGTTGGCTAGGCTGGTTTCGAACTCCTGACCTCAAGTGATCCACCCGCTTCAGCCTCCCAGAGTGCTGAAATTACAGGCATGAGCCACTGTGCCCGGCTGGAAAAAAACTCTTGTCTTTGGAGTTGCTAAATTGTTCTTGCTGGAACAGGCTGCACTCATTCCCCTTTCTCTGGCCCATGTGGAAAAGGCCTAGTCTGTGGTAGGAAAAAAATTAGTCCAACTTACTGATTGGCAAGGACAAGCCTTTGTGTGATGCACTGAGAGGAGACCCCAGCAGGCTGAAAGCCTGGTTCCTACAGGCTCAATTCTGTGAGATACGCTCCTGTCCTCATATCCTTCCATCACTTGCATTGAAGAGTTGAGGAAACATGCACTTATTTTACAGATGAAGAAACTGAATCGAGAGAAAGCAATTTGCCCAAGGCTACTGAACTAGTAAGAGGCACAGACAGAACTCCAAATTCCCCTTTCCTTCCTTCCTTCCTTCTTTCCTTCCTTCCTTCCTTCCTTCCTTCCTTCCTTCCTTCCTTCCTTCCTTCCTTCCTTCCCTCCTTCCCTCCTTCCTTCCCTCCTTCCCTCCTTTCTTCCTTTTTTTTTTTTCTTTTTTGAGACGGAATCTCATTCTGTCCCCCAGGCTGGAGTGCAGTGGTGCAATCTTGGCTCACTGCAACCTCCGCCTCCTGGGTTCAAGTGATTCTTCTGCCTCAGCCTCCTGAGTAGCTGGGATTACAAGCGCCCACCACCACGCCCAGCTAACTTTTTGTATTTTTAGTAGAGATGAGGTTTCACTGTGTTAGCCAGGATGGTCTTGGTCTCCTGACCTTGTGATTCGCCCACTGCAGCCTCCCAAAGTGCTGGGATTACAGGTGTGAGCCACCACGCCTGGCTTTGCTTTTCTTTTTTTTAAGAGATGGACTTTGTCATCGAGGCTGGAGTGCAGTGGTGCTATCATAGCTGACTGCAGTCTCGAACTCCCGGGCTCAAGCAGTCCTTCCCCTTTAGCCTCCTGAGTAGCTAGACTACAGGCACACACCACCTTGCCCAGCAACAAAGTGCCTTTTGGCTGGACATGGTGGCTCATGCCTGTAATCCCAGCACTTTGGGAAGCCACGCATGGTGGCACGCGCCTGTAATCCCAGCTACTAGGGAAACCGAGGTGGGAGGATCGATTGAGCCCAGGGGGTCGAGGCTGTAGTGAGTCGTGATTGTATCACTAACACTCCAGCCTGGGCAACAGGCTTTCATCTCTGTTGAAAGCTAGCATTTATTGAGCAACAAGCATTAAAATATGTTCATTTCAAAGACAGGAAATGAAGGCTCAGGCTCCTCTGAAGCCTGAGGGCCTGAAACTGCTATTTGAAGATCAACTGGACTGTTCTGCCTTCACCCTTTGCTTCTAACCCTGGAACGTTCATGTTGTTTCACCTATGGCTATCTCTTTCTTAGATGAACCACTACCTACCCACCCACCTGCCCTGGAGACACGTGGAGGCTTTTGTGTCTTCTGGCCCAGGTAGGGTCCATCAAATTCCTTTCCTGGGACTGCTTGATGGGTGCTGCAGGGAAGAATTCCTCTTGCTGCACTAGGAGGGTGTGAACATGGGGCCGCCAGCTCCATGGGAATCCCTCCCTCTGTAGGGAGAGCCTAGCTGAGCTCAAAGCCAATGCATAGACGTGGATAGGTGGAGAGAGAAAGCCTTACTGGTATCATTTGGTCTCTGGGATCCCGCCAGTCCTGAGGCCCCAACCAGTGATTTGAGCCATACATTCCCCTTTTGCTTCAGCCAGTTTTAGTCTAGTTTCTTTCACTTTTTTTTTTTTTTTGAGACAGAGTCTCATTCTGTCGCTCATGCTGAAGTGCAGTGGTGCAATCTCAGCTCACTGCAACCTCCACCTCCTGGGTTCAAGCGATTCTCCTGCTTCAGCCTCCAGTTTCTTTCACTTGTGACTAAAAGTCATAACTACCAAAAGTTCTCAGTGCCAAAATGCTAGATGCCACCTCTGTGTCCACAACCCTTCATCCCCAACAACCAGCCCCACTCACTTTGTGATTTCTTCTAAGACTGCCTCTGGTAAGGCCAGCATCTCTACCAGCAGGGACAGGATCTCAAAGAGTAGAGTGTGGGGGTTGTGGGGAGCCATGTCCGTCAGGGCGTTCTGTTCTGGAGACAAGGGATAGTGGCTGCCATTACCACAGGGCAGTCCTGAATGCCCTCTCCTTTCCCCACAAGCAACCTCCCAGCAGCTCCTCCTCCAGTTCTGACTACCCTGGGCTCATCCCTGCTCACCCACAGAGCAGAAGAAGCGCCTGGTGTCTGTCATCACAGCCAAGAAGTCTTTGAAATCCACATGACCATCTCCTGTGGAGGCCAGAGGAGTAACTGGGTGGGCAGAGACCTTCGGAACAGGTCCATGCCTTGCAGCCCAGGCGTGGTTATTAGAAGTTACTCTCTGGGTCTGATTATCAAGCAGTGCATACTCAATGCAGACAACATGGGGCACACAGGAAAGTAGAAGCTGAAAGTGCTCACACCTGTAATCCTAGCACTTTGGGAGGCGAGGTGCGTGGATCACCTGAGGTCAGGAGTTTGAGACCTACCTGGCCAACATGGTAAAACCCCATCTGTACTAAAAATACAAAAATTAGCTAGGAGTGTTGGCGCACACCTGTAATCCCAGATACTTGGGAGGCTGAGGCAGGAGAATCGCTTGAATCTGAGAGGCAGAGGTTGCAGTGAGCCAAGATGGTGCCACTGCACTCTAGCCTGGGCGACAAAGCAAGACTCTGTCGCAAAAACAAACAAAAAAGCAAAAAAAAAAAAAAAAAAATTGTTAAGAATTTATATGATGTTGGGCGCAGTGGCTCACACCTGTAATCCCAGCACTTTGAGAGGCTGAGGCAGGCAGATTCCTGGAGTCCAGGAGTTTGAGACCAGCCTGGGCAACAAAGACCCTACCTCTACAAAAAATAAAAAATTAGCCAGGCGTGGTAGTGCGCCTATAGTCCCAGTTAGGAGTCTGAGGTGGCAGGATTGCTTGAGCCTAGGAGGTTGAGGCTGTGGTGAGCAGGGATCACAGCATTATACTCAGCCTGAGCAACAGAGCCAGACGTCGTCTCAAACAACAAGAACAACAAAGGCATTTCTAGACTGTGACAGCAGAGCATTAAACCAAGCATGGAATCCTTTAGGTGCAGAGCCTCATGCAACTGCACAGGCTTCAAGCCAGTGAAGCAGGCCCTGCTTGGGACGCAGAGTGGAGCCCTCTGCTGCTCACCATTGACATCAGCACTCATCAGGGCGTCCTCCACCTGGGCCGGCGTCACAGAGAAGCCCATTAGGAGCAGGATGTTCTTCAGGCTGTGTGCATCGACCTCACCAGGGCCATTGAAGATCTCAAAGTAGCTTCGGAAGGCTGTGGGGAGGGCAGGGTTATGTGGGTGGGGGCGTTCCTTGTTTCTCTCGTTCATCCCATCACCCCAACCGCCCTCCTGCCAGCCGCCTCCACCATCAAAAGTGAAAATAAAAGAGCCGGATGCGTTGGCTCATGCCTGTAATCCCAACATTTTGGGAGGCCGAGGCAGGCAGATCACCAGCCTGGCCAACATAGTGAAACCCTGTCTCTACTAAAAATACAAAACTTAGCTGGGCATGGTGGTGCATGCCTGTTGTCCCAGCTACTTGGGAGGCTGAGGCAGGAGAATCGCATGAACCCGGGAGGCGGAGGTTGCAGTGTGCTGAGATTGCGCCACTGTACTCCAGCCTGGGTGACAGAGCGAGACTCCAAAAAAAAAAAAAAAAAAAAGAGAGAAAGAGAGAGGGAGGGAAGGAGAGAGGGAGGAAAGAGAAAGAAAAAGAAAAAAGAAAAGAAAGGGCTGTGATCCCGTTGACTCACTCTGCTGTCTATTCCAAATCCAGGCCAAGGGTTTAGTTTGGGTGCCAACAGCTCAGCTAATTAGTGGCCTTCACTCAGCGCCAGTGGCCCACCCACTTTAGGGCACCCTACTGTGTGCCAGACACTGGACTAGACTCTTTATAGCCATGTTCTCAAGAGTAGAGTGCTTGTTCCCGTTGTAACGATGGGGAGCCTCAGAACGATGTAACTGAAGCTCAGAGGTTAGATGACTGGACAGTTTTTCTGACTAAGTCTGTGCCCTGGTCCTTGGTCGATCTGGTCCTTGGTCGATCTGGTCCTTGGTCGATCTGGATGAATGCCGTCGAAAGGATTGCTGCATTGTGTGGACCAGACCAGAGGATGGGAAGGGTCTGAGAACACCGCAGAGCAGCACCAAGTGATACAAAGGCCGTGCACTAGTCAGATTGTGTGTCAGGTTTCTCAGCCCCATGGCAAAATCTGGGTTGGAGTCAATAGAGGGTCTTACTCTGTTGATCCAGCTGGAGTGCAGTGGTGTGATCATGGCTCACTGCTTCCTGGATCTCCTGGGCTCGAGGGATCCTACTATCTGCGCCTCCCCAGTAACTCGGATGACAGGTGCACACCACCATGCCCAGCTTTTTTTTTTTTTTAATTTTTATTTTTAGTAGAGATGGGGTCTCCCTATGTTGCCCAGGCTGGTCTTGAAATCCTAGGCTCAAGCAATCCTCCTGCCTCAGTCCGCCAAAGTGCTGGAGTTCACACATGAGCCACTGTGCCCGGCCTGGCTCTGCCATTTAATAAGCTGGATTGCTCTTATGTTGAAGCCCTAACCCCCAGTACTTCTGAACCTGCCTGTGTTTGAAGATAGGGCCTTCAAAGAGGTGATTAAGTTAAAAAGAGGCCTTTAGTGTGTGTCCTAATCCAATCCAACTGGAGTCCTCATGCAAAAAGGAAATTTGGGCTAAGTGCAATGGCTAACACCATCCACCCAGCACTTCGGGAAGCTGAGGCAGTAGAATCACTTGAGCCCAGGAGTCTGAGACCAGCCTGAGCAACATAAGAAACTTCGTCTCTAGGCCGGGCGTGGTGGCTCAAGCCTGTAATCCCAGCACTTTGGGAGGCCGAGATGGGCGGATCACGAGGTCAGGAAATCGAGACCATCTTGGCTAACACGGTGAAACCCCGTCTCTACTAAAAAATACAAAAAACTAGCCGGGCGAGGTGGCGGGTGCCTGTAGTCCCAGCTACTCGGGAGGCTGAGGCAGGAGAATGGTGTGAACCCGGGAGGCGGAGCTTGCAGTGAGCTGAGATCCAGCCACTGCACTCCAACCTGGGTGACACAGCGAGACTCCGTCTCAAACAAAAAAAAAAAAAGAAAAAGAAACTCTGTCTCTATAGAAAATTTTAGAAATTAGCCAGGCACAGTGGCACATGCTTGTAGTCCCAGCTACTCAGGAGGCTGAGGTGGAAGGATTACTTGAGCCCCAGAGGTAGAGGCTGCAGTGAGGTAGGATCACACCACTGCACTCCAGCCTGGGTGACAGAGCAAGGCCCTGCCTCAAATAAGTAAATAAATAAATAAATAAATAATGCAAATTTGGACACACACAGAGATACCAGGGTTGCCCATTCACAGAGGAAAGACCATGTGAGGACAATGAGAAGACAGCTGTCTGCAAGCCAAGCAGGGAGGCCACAGAAGAAAGCAACCTGCCGACACCCTGATCTTGGACTTCCAGCCTCCAGAACTGTGACAAAAGAAATGTCTGCTGTTTCAGCCATCCAGTCTGTGGTCCTCTGTTATGGCAGCCCGCTCTGACTAGGACGCTGGGCATGGGCAAGTTGCTGCACTTCCATCAGCCTCTATTTCCGTATCTGTATGATGGCCGTAACAACAGCGCACCCTCTTGGAGGTATTGTATGAACTCAGTGCCTGGCACACAATAGCCTCTGTTAGCCTGGAAGTCTCTGACAAACAGCGCTGAATGGTGGGGAAGAGGTGGGGCTAGGACTAGTGTTGGGGCATGTGGTGACCTGTCGTGGGCAGGCACATCATAGAAGGAAAAACCAGAGCAACTCTCAGAAGCAAGTGTGATCACTCAGAATGCCTCATGGTTTGAGCCAGCGGAGCAGGGCAGTCGGCCCTTTATTACCAGACAGGGATTGGGAGTTGTGGGACCCTGAGTCTCTGAGTCAAAGTGGCACATTGTTCATGAACTGCTCAAGGAGGTGGGCAGGGAGAGCTGCACTTAGGAAGGTGACTAGGGAGTTGTATATTATTATTATTATTATTACTATTTTTGAGACAGAGTCTCGCTCTGTTGCCCAGGTTGGAGTGCAGTGGCGCGATCTCGGCTCACTGCAACCTCCGCTTCCTGGGTTCAAGCGATTCTCATGCCTCAGCCTCCTGAGTAGCTGGGATTATAGGCACGCACCACCACACCCGGCTAATTTTTGTATTTTTAGTAGAGACGGGGTTTCACCATGTTGGTCAGGCTGGTCTCGAACTCTTGACCTCGTGATCCACCCACCTAAGCCTCCCAAAGTGTGGGGATTACAGGTATCAGCCACCGCGCCCGGCTGGAGTTGTATATTATTTTATTTTTAAGAGAGGGTCTTGCTCTGTCCCCCAGGCTGGAGTGTAGTAGCATAATCATAACCCACCATAACCTCAAACTCCTGAGCTCAAGTGATCCTTCTGTCCCCCAGGCTGGAGTGTAGTAGCATAATCATAGCCCACCATAACCTCAAACTGCTGAGCTCAAGTGATCCTCCCACCTCAGCCTCCTGGGTAGCTGGGACTACAGGCTCATGCCACTATGTATGGCTAATTTTTAAATTTTTTGTAGATATGGGGGTCTTACTATGTTGCTTAGGCTAGTCTTGAACTCCTGGCCTCAAGCGATCCTCCTGCCTCAGGCTCCCAAAGTGCTGGGATTATAGGCATGAGCCACTGTGCCCAGCCATGGTAGAGGGTTTTAATACTAAAAGGGGTGGACTTAAAGGATGGGGTCACAGGGAGCCAGTGAGAGCGTCCAGGGAAGACAGAGGAAGGGACCACTTTGGCCAAGAGGGTTGCAGGCTTTAGGGAGGAGTGGGGGATGGAAGGAGGATGTACATCCATTCTTCTAGGGCCAGGGTGATGGGGGAGTGGGGTCACAGGACCCCGTCCTGAGGACAATAGAGAGCAGGGTAGGCATTCAGAACTTTTTAACTTTTTGGTGAAGGTGAGATGCAGTGGGAATGGGGGAGATGCTTAGGCTGGTGTCCTTGTTTAATGATGAGGGACTGTCTAGGATGGGCAGGGTTCCTGGAGCCCTGTCTCCTATCCAGGGTGCTCTGAAGAGGACCATGGAGCAGGCTTGGGTTAAGGGAAGCAGAAACTATTCCAAAACCTAAATCACTCTGCAAGGCTTCTGTCATTCTCTCAGAGAGGCAGCTCTGGCACAGGGAGAGCACTGGACTTCGAGTCAGAAGACCTAGCACAAGGCCGGGCGCGGTAGCTCACGCCTGTAATTCCAGATTTTGGGAGGCCGAGGCGGGTAGATCAGTTGAGTTCAGGAGTTCGAGACCAGCCTGGCCAATATGGTGAAACTTCGTCTCTACTAAAAATACAAAAATTAGCCGGGTGTGGTGTCACACACGTGTAATCCCAGCTATTCAGGAGGCTGAGGTAGGAGAATCGTTCGAACCCTGGAGGCAGATGTTGCAGTGAGCTGAGATCGTGCCACTGCACTCCAGCCTGAGCGATAGAGTGAGATTCTTTCTCAAAAAAAAAAAAAAAAAAAATTGACCCAGCATGAGTTCTGGCTCCGCCAACCCAGCAGCTTTGTGAGCTGGGGCCAACCCCTTACCCTGCCCTGCCCCACAGGCCAAGTGCAAAACCGCTGCTGGATCTGCTACACGGGGCTGTGGTGGGCATGGTGGCAGCCGTGTCATGTGGAAAACACCCCAGTCTGCCCTGCACCTATAAACCCCCAAGGACCAAGGGTCCTGCCTGTGCTGGGACCTCCCTGGCCTCCCTGCCCTCACCTTCCTCTTGCTTCAGGGTCAGTTGCTCCTCGGACTTTTCCCGGTTTTGATACAGCTTTTGGAGGCTCTGCTCTTCTGGCTCCTGCCTGCAGAGGACAGAACCCCGGCCCAGGGCAACATCCGGCCGCCCACCCTGCTGATAGCTAGGGGAGGGGTTGGGGAAGCCTGCAGGAGGAGGTCGTTGGGGAGGCTTTGAGGAGCCAGGAGGGCTCAAGAATGGCAGGAGAAAGGAGACCCAGAGGAGGAGTGGGATAGAGGAGAGGGGGACTAGAGGGAGACGCCTTCGGGGGAGTTAGAAAAGGGGTCAGAAATGGGAGAGGAGGCAGAGACATGGGAGATGCGGAGAGGAGACACGTGAGGAGAAATGGAGAGTAGGGGACACACGAGGGAACAGGCAGGTACAGGGACAGGGACCTGCATCTGGGACAAGGCTCTGATTTTGGGGCCTTTCAGGAGCGGGCAGGTGGGCAGCGGGGGCTCCTACCGTGCCTTGGCGTAGCTCAGGGTTCTCTCGCTGCTGTGGTGCGAGAGCTCCATCCTTCTCCAGCCCAGGTCCAGGGCAGGGCACAGCAGGACAGGGCAAGGCGTGGAGGTGGGGACCGGGGCTCCCACGGGGGCAGGCTCTGGCCCAGGAGCTGACAGCCTGGCCCATGATGGGCCACTGGCAGGGGCCGAGGCAGGGGTCTGAGGCAGGCTTGGGGATGAGGTGGGCACTGGGGTCAGGGTCCTGGGGGACTTCTGGGCTGTCAGGGACCGGGCCTTCAAGGCTCTCCGATGGGAGGCTTCCACTTTCTCCACCTCCAGCAAGCACTTCATGAAGCCCTGCCGGAATTTCCTGAGGTTCTGTGTCCCTGCAGCCACCACGGGCTTCTGAGGCTGCTGCTGCACACGGTCCGGCTCCCGCCTCTCTCCAATGTCCCTCACCTCCTGGGGATAGGGGAGGGGATCCAGGAGGCCTCTAGCAGGCCAGAGTGTCCCGCAAAGCTCCTCCCTGCCATCCCCTCTCCAGAGATCCTCAGACTGCCCCTTACTCTCTGAGCCTTTGGAGGATGTACCCCAAATCTCACATGCACCCCACTGTGCTCCTGCCCCACGTCCTCTTGCCCCACGTCCTCCCCAACACTTGACTTGCTACCTCCCAGTGAGCTGGGTTTGTTTTCTTGTTGTTGTTGTTGTTTTTTGAGACAGGGTTTTGCACTATCACTCAGGCTGGAGTGCGGTGGCGTGATCTCAGCTCATTGTAGCCTTGACCTTCCAGGCTCAAATGATCCTCCCACCTCAGCCTCCAGAGTAGCTGGGACTACAGCTGCGCACTACCACGCCCAGGTAATCTTTTTTTTTTTTTTTTTTGAGATGATGTCTTGCTGTGTTTCCCAGGCTGGAGTGCAGTGGTGTGATCTTGGCTCACTGCAAACTCCACCTCCCAGGTTCAAGCGATTCTCCTGCCTCAGCCTCCTGAGTGGCTGGGACTACAGGCATGCACCACCATACCCAGCTAATTTTTATATTTTTAGCAGAGACGGGGTTTTGCCACATTGACCAGGCTGGTCTCGAACTCCTGACCTCAGGTGATCTGTCTGCCTCGGCCTCCCAAATTGCTGGGATTACAGGCATGAGCCACTGCACCCGGCCTAATCTTTGTATTTTTTGTAGAGACAGGGTTTCACCATGTTGCCCAGGCTGGTCTGGAACTCCTGACCTCAGGTGATCCTCCGCCTTGGCCTCCCAAAGTGCTGGGATGACAAGTGTGAGCCGCCACACCTGGCTGAGCCATGGTCTTGAGTGAGTTACTCCCGGTCCCACCACTTGGCCTTGTTCATGCCTGTTGTCTGCCCTCCTGACCAGAAGGTAAGCATTATTGAGGGCAGGACCTTGGCTGCCTCTTTTATTCCTGTACACCCGCTTCTCATTCACTCAGCAACCCCAGGCTCTCTTGCACCTGTTCCCTCTCCTCAGAGGGACTGGCTGTGCCCATTCTGCCTCCTGCCAGGCCAGGCTTTTCTCTCAATCAAAGGTGCTGTGCTTACTACACACTCTCTCTTCCTAAGTTATCAACTTTGCTTTCCCCACCAGATTACTCCTATTAGCATGTAAATATATTATCATCTTCCCTCTTTTATTTTGAAAGAAATAGGGTCTCATTTTGTTGCCCAGGCTGGAATGCAGTGACACGATCTCAGCTCACTGCCACTTTGAATTCCTGGGCTCAAGGGATAATCCCACCTCAGCCTCCCAAGTGGCTAAGACTACAGGTGCTCACCACCAGGCCCGGCTAATATTTTAATTTTTTGTAGAGACAGGGTCTCGTCTTGCCCAGGCTGGTCTCAAACCCCTGGGCTCAAATGATCCTCCTATCTCAGCCTCCCAAAGTGCTGGGATTACAGATGTGTGCCACCAAAGCCGGCTAATCTTCCTTCTTTAAGAAAAAACAAAGTCTCCTGATACCACCTCACCTCCATCATCCCAGTTCTCTGCTCCCCTTCTATTGCAAAATTCCTTGAAAGCGTTGGCTGTCCTGACTCCACACTTCCATCTCCAATCAGGCTCTGCCTAGCACTCCCTAAAGCTGCTCTTGCCATGCCACGGTCAGATCTCTGCCCTCATCTGAGTTGACCCCTTGGCAGCATTAGACACAGATGCCCATTCACTCTGTCCTTCTGGAAATGCCTCCTGCCCTAGACTCCCGCCCCTCACTGGTTGCTCTGCCCCTGCCTCTGGTGCTGGCTCCTCCTCACTCGTGCTCTATTTCTCAGTGTTGTGGAGACCCGGGGATTTGTCCTCAGTCCTCCCCCTGCTCTGGGCTCCCTCCCTCCCTAGAAGTCGTCTTCCTGCCCATGACTCCATTTTCCTCACGTTTCTTTGTCCTTCCTAATACCAGACGTCCTCCTTGACATCTCTTCTTGGGTGTCTAGAACAGGAGCAAAGCAGAGACCTCAGGTTCCTCTCATCTGTTGCTATCCAGGCTTGTGTCTCACTTAATGACATCACCTGTGGCTCACGCCACAGACCTAGAGTCCTTGTTTTTTTTTTTTTTTTTGAGACGGAGTCTCGCTCTGTCACCCAGGCTGGAGTGCAGTGGCCGGATCTCAGCTCACTGCAAGCTCCACCTCTCGGGTTCACGCCATTCTCCTGCCTCAGCCTCCCGAGTAGCTGGGACTACAGGCGCCCGCCACTTCGCCCGGCTAGTTTTTTGTATTTTTTAGTAGAGACGGGGTTTCACCGTGTTAGCCAGGATGGTCTCGATCTCCTGACCTCGTGATCCACCCGTCTCGGCCTCCCAAAGTGCTGGGATTACAGGCTTGAGCCACCGCGCCCGGCTGAGTCCTTGTTTTTATTTTCCAACTTTTTTTTTTTCCCTGTGATAACATACACATAACATTTACCATCTTTGTTTGTTTGTTTGTTTTGAGACAGAGTCTCACTCTGTTGCCCAGGCTGGAGAGCAGTGGCTGGAGATCTTAGCTCACTGCAACCTCTGCCTCCTGTGTTCAAGCAATTCTCCTGCCTCAGCCTCCCAAGTAGCTAGGATCACAGGTGTGCACCACCACACCTGGCTAATTTTTGTATTTTTAGTAGGGACAGGGTTTTACCATGTTGGCCAAACTGGTCTTGAACTCCTGACCTCAGGTGATGTGCCTCCTCGGCCTCCCAAAGTGCTGGGATTACAGGCATGAGCCACCACACCCGGCCACATTTACCATCTTAATGATTTTCTTTCTTTGTTTTTTTTTTTTTTTTGAGATGAATTCTTGCTCTGTTGCCACGCTGGAGTATGGTGGCATGATCTCAGCTCATTACAACCTCCGCCTCCTGGGTTCAAGCAGTTCCCCTGCCTTGGCCTCCCAAGTAGCTGGGACTACAGGTGCACGCTACCAAGCCTGGCTAATTTTTTGTATTTTAGTAGAGACAGGGTTTCACCATGTTGGTCAGGATGGCCTCGATCTCCTGACCTCATGATCCACCCGCTTCAGCCTCTCAAAGTGCTGGGATTATAGGAATGAGCCACTGCATCCAGCCAACGATTTTCTTTTTTTTTTTAGAGGCAGAGTCCTGCTATGTTGCCCAGGCTGGTCTTTTCATCTTGTAGAACAGAAACTCCATATCCATTAAATAATAACCTCCTATCACCACTCCCCCAAGCCCTGGCAACTACCATTTCCACTTCCTGTCTCTACGGATTTGACTAAGAATCTCATATAAGGCCAGGCGCGGTGGCTCACGCCTGAAATCCCAGCACTTTGGGAGGCTGAGGCAGGCGGATCATGAGGTCAGGAGATCGAGACCATCCTGGCTACATGGTGAAACCCTGTCTCTACTAAAAATACAGCAACAACAACAAAAAATTAGCCAGGAGTGGTAGCGGGTGCCTGTAGTCCCAGCTACTCGAGAGGCTGAGGCAGGAGAATGGAGTGAACCTGGGAGGTGGAGCTTCCAGTGAGCCAAGATCATGCCACTGCACTCCAGCCTGGGTGACAGAGCAAGACTCCGTCTCACAAAAAAGAATCTCATGTAAGTGGAATTGCTTTGTCTTTTTGTGACTGGTTTATTTCACTTAGCATAATATCCTCAAAGCTCATCCATGTGGCAGCATGTGGCAGAATTTCCTCCCCTTTTAAGGCTGAATAATCTATTGTACGTACAGACCACATTTGGCATATCCATTCATCTGTCAATGGACACTTGGGTTGCTTTCATCTGTTATCCACTGTGAATAATACTGCTATGAACATAAGTGTACAAAGATCTCCTTGAGACCCTGCTTTCAATTCTCTGGGGTATATACCCAGAAATGGAGTTTCAGCATCGTATAGTAGTAATTCTATCTTTAATTTTCTGAGGAACTGCTATCATACTCTTTTCATTTCTTTCTTCTCTTCTCTTTTCTTTCTTTTTTGAGACAGAGTTTTGCTCTTGTTACCCAGGTGGGAGTGCAATGGCACGGTCTTGGGTCACTGCAACCTCTGCCTCCCAGGTTCAAGCGATTCTCCTGGCTCAGCCCCTGGAGTAGCAGGAACTACAGGAGTGCGCCACCACGCCTGGCTAATTTTTGTATTTTTAGTAGAGACAGGGTTTTGCCATATTGGCCAGGCTGGTCTTGAACTCCTGACCTCAAGTGATCTGCCTGCCTCGACCTCCCAAAGTGCTGGGATTACAGGTGTGAGCCACCATGCCTGGCCTGTCATACTGTTTACCACAGTAGGTGTACCATTTTCCATTTCCACCAGCAGTACATGGGTGTTCCAGTTTCCTTGTCAACACTTGTTATTTTCTGTTTTTTTTTCTTGTTAGAGCAGTTGTCCTGATGAGTGTGAGCCTAGAGTCTTTTTTTTTTTTTTTTTGAGACAGAATCTCGTTCTGTCTCCCAGGCTGGAGTGCAGTGGCGTGATCTTGGCTCACTCTAACTTCTGCCTCCCGGGTTCAAGTGATTCTCATGCCTCAGCCTCCCAAGTAGGTGGGATCACAGGTGTGCACCACCACAGCCCAGCTAATTTTTTTGTATTTTTAGTGGAGACGGGGTTTTGCCATGTTGCCTAGGCTGGTCTCAAACTCCTGGCCTCAAGTGATCTGCCCATCTCAGCCACTCAAAGTGTTGGGATTACAGGCGTAAGCCACCGCACCCGGCCTAAACTGTATTTATTTATTGACATGTAATGGTCTAGACTTTCCGCCAACTAGGTCACAAGCTCCATTCACCATGAAGTCACCAGTTTCACAACTGTGTTTGGTATGCCGTCCTCAATATGTATGTTAACTAAACACTGATTATTTCACTTTTCTCAGTGACGTCTGAGAAGCAAGATAACGTAAATAATGCACTTGGACAGAGTAAACACTTAGCAAGCAGTAGGGTTGAAAATAATTATAGTTGACGGGTGCGGTGGCTCATGCCTGTAATCCCAGCACTTTGGGAAGCTGAGGCGGGTGGA